CCAGGTGTGGCCTCCCCAGTGCTGAGTCCAGGGGCACAATCACCTCCCTACTTCTGCTGGTCACACTATTTTTGATACAAGCCAGGATGCCATTGGCTTTCTTGCCCCCCTGGGCACACTGTGGCTCATATTCAGCCCTTTGGCAACTAGAACCCCCAGGTCTCTTTCCTCCAGGCAGCTCCAGCCACACTTCCCCCAGCCTGTAGCGCTGCATCTCCCTCCCGGGGTCCCCAAAACCCCCCCACCCCTCCAAGACCTGGGGCTGGTTGACCAGGTAGCGGCAGAGCTCCCCGATGTACTGGAAGACGGTGACCCCTTCGGCGCGACAGTCCTCCCAGAACTGGCTGGCTGAGAACTTCTCCTTCAACACACAAGTGGCTCCTGAGGAAAAAGATGGGATTTAGTGGGGGAAACAGTGCCATCCCCCCAAAAAAAATGTCACCGAGGTGTCCCCGGCCCCGCTGACCGATGCCGATGCAGCCCACGATGCCCAGGAGGGAGCCGGCCATGTGGTAGAGGGGCAGTGCCAGGTAGACCACGTCCCGGCTGGAGGCCCCCACCAGCTCGTAGAAGCTCAGGCACATGATGGATTTGAGGTGGGAGACGCGGGCGGCTTTGGGGAGACCTGCAAAGTTGGGGGGGGGCACACAACAAGGTCAATATCCCACCCCCAGGCCCCATAAATTCCCCCCCCCCCCATCCCACCAACACTAGGGGTGGGTGGGGGGCACCCACCGGTGGTGCCCGAGGTGAAGATGTAGAGACACGTGTCGTTCATGTCCCGGGGCACCCAAACCTCCTCAGGATCCAGCTCCTCCGAGGCCGCCTCCAGCAGCTCCTGAAGGGCCACGGCGCCGGGGGGGTACGGGCCCCCCCCCAGCACCCACACCACGATGCCATCCTCCTGCAGGTCGGGCAGGATGGGCTCCACCAGGGCAAAGAGAGCTGGGGAGGGAGGAGGAGGAGGAGGAGGAGAAGGAGGAGAAGGAGGAGAAGGAGGAGAAGGAGGAGAAGGAGGAGGAGAAGGGGG